GATGACAGTTTAAGTTTGCAATTACATGACATTCTTGAGCAAAATATCACTTCTACTTATGGCAAAAGATTTAGAACTGCAAAAACAACTGAAGCATTTATTCATTTATATGCCATTTCAAGATGAAAAACCCTGCCAAGGGCAACACTGTAGTACTACAGCACATCTTTTTTTTTTTTAAGAGAAGGTAAAAAGAAGTTTAAAAAAACCCAACTAAGGTGATATCTGCATCTATTGGCAATCTCTAATGATCAATGAATCTGCTACAACAATAAATGTGCTTAAAACAAAGCTTTTCCTTTAATAGTTTTTACACAGCAGGCACTTCGTATGAAGAGGGGATGACTAATGGTGACTTATAGTATGGCTCTATAGTAAACTATGCCAGTATTACTATCAAATCACCTCTTAGGAAACTCCCTTTCTGCCCATCATGTAATCAATTTAACAAAGATCTAAACAACTTACAGTTCAAACATTCAAATAAATCCCAGTCTCCTCCTTTCCCTCTATGCTTATTAGAAGAATGTAAAGTCACAAGTCACTGGAACAGTCCCAGAAATTGTTTTATCTGTTTACTTTTGTTGACAAGGTTGCATATTGAATTCAAGCAAGTCAAGGAAAAGGAACAATCGCTTCACACTTCTACAATACATGAGAAATAAAGACAAGTACCAATTCCAAGGCACAACGCTACGAATTATACCTGACTGCAGAAGCTTGCTCACATTGTGTTTAAAAGCAAAAATAAAACATTATCATTAAAAATTTCCTATCAGTTTTCTCCCCATAACAGAATACCCAGTACACCACACTACACGTTTTTATGTAGAAGGAAATGGGTGGCAAGAAAAAGTCCATCATTCATCCAGAATAAACACTACTTTTAGCTTGATAATACCCAAGTAAATTGGCAAATCTACAATGGAAATTAAGAAAATACAATAGGAAAAAGGCAAATGACTGAGAAGCCAAGCCCTCTTTCTCTCATCTGGCATCTCTCTAAGTAAAACCAGTTCAATCACATTCACATAAAGAAGGTGGCAATCATGGAGATGGCTCATCTACCCTAAACCAGAAGATGACAGTTCTTCACCTCAAAGCTGGTTCCCTGCTACAACCAAGATCAGCTTCCAGCCCATCAGGTACAGAATAGCTCAAAAACTCTTTAGGACAAGGACCACCTTTTTGTTATGTACATGGAGAATGACCACAATAATAATGTCCTTATCCACAGCTGAGGCTACCATGAACTACTTCAATATTTTTTGAGTGATCTTCTCTTTCTTCATTGTCTACCCACGCTCTCTAGGAAAAACACAGTCTGAAGTTTTGCCATAATTCTGGCTAACCAGCATGAGGCAAAAAACATCCTTCAGAGGCCAGTGTCTCCTCTTGAGGCCAACATCCTGAAACGATTGACTTTAGACATTCTTTAAAGTTGTGACCATTCAAAACTAGGACCTGGGACCAATGTTGAGTACAAAAAGTAACAAAATCCGTATGAGGTCTAGAAAACTGTTAATGAAGAATACAGAAAACATGGAGGAAATTTATTAGCAAACTGGAAAGAAAGAGCAAAACTAAGAATGACAGACACAAAGGATGACAGATGGTATGATGAAGACTACTCTAGTTTTCTAACAGACCATTCTTGAGACAAGGGGAAGAGCAGCCATGGAACCAATCTGGAGATAGGGAAAAGGAGCAAGTACCAAGATGTTAAGTAGTACTTATTATTTATATGAAATAGTCCCACGTACACAGAAATACTCAAGAAAATTACTGTGTAATTCAGAACCTGGGATTAGAGATCAAAACTTTCAAGTTTGAGCACTACTGAAGATGAGGATAACCAACCAGCCATTCACAAACCAAGGTCCAGAGAGACCTTGACAGCCTTGAGAGGTGGATTTGTGCAAATATGCATGAAGTTCCACCAGGCAAAGTGTAAGGTCCTGCCTGTACCTGGGTCTGGGCAATCCCAAGCAAAAATACAGGCTAAGTGGAAAATAGATTGAAAATAGTTCAGAGGAGAAGGACTTGGGGGTGATGGTGGCTGAGAAGCTCAACGTGAGCCGTCAATGTGCGCTTGCAGCCCAGAAAGCCAATTGTGTCCTGCGTTGCATCAAAAGAAGCGTGGCCAGCAGGTCAAGGAAGGGGATTCTCCCTCTTTATTCAGTGCTCTTGAGACCCCAGCTGGAGCACAGTGTCCACTTCTGAAGCCCTCAACACAGGAAGGACATGGAATCATGGAATCACAGAACTATTCAGGTTGGAAAAAACCCTTGGGATCACCGAGTCCAACCATCATCCCTGCTCTACAAAGTTCTCCCCTAAACCATACCCACCAACACGACATCCAAACGACCCCTAAACACATTCAGGGATGGTGACTCAACCCCCTCCCTGGGCAGCCTATTCCAATGTCTAACCACTCTTTCTGTGAAATTTTTTTTCCTAATGTCCAGTCTAAACCTCCCCTGTTGCAGCTTGAAGCCATTCCCTCTTGTTCTGTCACTAATTACCTGTGAAAAGAGACCAGCACCAACCTCTCTACAGTGACCTTTCAGGTAGTTGTAGAGACTGATGAAGTCTCCCCTCTGCCTCCTCTTTCTAAAACTAAACATTCCCAGCTCCTTCAAGTGTTCCTCATAATATTTATTCTCTAGGCCCTTCACCAGCTTTGTTGCCCTCCTCTGTACTCGCTCCAGCACCTCGGCATCTCTCTTGATTTGAAGTGCCCAAAACTGGATGCAATACTCCAGGTGTGGCCTCACCAGTGCTGAGTACAGGGGGAAATGGAGCTAATAGAGAAAGTCCAGATGAGGGCCATGAAGATGAACCAAGGGCTAGAGCACCTCTCCTACAAAGACAGGCTAAGAGAGTTGGGGCTGTTCAGCCTGGAGAAGGAAAGGCTCTGGGAGACCTTATAGCAGCCTTTCAGAACCTGAAGAGACTACAGGAAAGCTGGGGAGGGGCTTTTTACAAGGACTTGTGGTGAGAGGACAAGGGGTAATGGATCAAAACTGGAAGAGGGGAGATTCAAGTTAGACATTTGGAAGAAATTCTCTAGTGTGAGGGTGGTGAGACACTGGAACAGGTTGCCCAGGACAACTGTGGAAGCCCCATCCCTGGAAGTGTTCAAGACCTGGTTGGATGGTGCTCTGAGCAACCTGATCTAGTGGGGCGTGTCCCCGCCCATGCAGGGGGGTTGGAACTACATGATCTTAAAGGTCCCTTCCAATTCACATCATTCAATAATTCTGTGATCTTCTACTTGCCAATCTGTTCCTGCCTTTCTCTTCAAACATGTTCTTTGAAGATCATGAAATATGAAACGCTTCACTCTTGCCTTTTTGCTGTCCTGTGCTATCCCTCACTTCATTGCACAAAGCTTCAATTTCCTGACTATGGCAGCAAATGGTGTAACTGGATGGTGTATCAACAGAGTCTCTTGTTATAGTTGGTATGTTTTGTGTTTATAAAGACTAAAATACTCAATCTATTCAACTGTCAGTATTTAAAATATGATGAAGTGTCAGACAAAAAAAAAAATTAAAACCCACAAACTGTGATATGTAGACATTTAGAGAAGTTGTGTTTTTTCTATCTCATAAGCTGTACTATTAGGACTTTATCTGCTAAGACTCTACCAAAATGCCTATGAACAGTATTTTCAAGTAACAGAGAAATCAAGCATTTAATGCCAAAGTAAAAAGGGAGAAAATTAAATTTAAAAGACACAACTGCAATCTTTAAAGTAGCAGTTATATATTAATCCAAAAGATGGAAAGTGGTGACATTTACAAGAATATCATAGATACAATTAAGAATTCTATTTCATAAACCATCTAGCATTTTAATGAAAAAAGTTAATTCTCAATGGAGTTTTAAAATGCAGATGAAGAAAAATTAACATGTAATTACACAGTGAAATTATCATAGCTTTATTTTAAAATCAAGGGAGGGGAACCTCCTGTATCATTGCTACTTACAGCATCTTTTGTTAGTTTATTTTACACGCTATTTTCATTTCAAGCTAAGGCTTCTACATTGCACCAGCATTATCCCAAAGCGTTAATCAACCATGCCTGACAAAAATCCCCAATGACCTGCAGCAAGTGCTGATGCTTCCACTAATACCCAGTCTTGAGCAACTCACTTTTGTTAGATTTCCCAGGACAGCGAGTATGGTTTAGCTTCATTCTTCCATTTCCAGATCACCTCTCTGTGATTACCAAGAGCTGAGACTGCAGATAGAACTGAGCCTACACACTCGGCTGCATCAGCTCTGGACCTCCACTGTGCTCAATATCTAAACTCCAGGCGATTCTCAAGCTCTGGGAAGCAGACCCCATACACTGTCACTTCTGATCTTAGTTAAAAAACAGAATCACTTAAATTTTAATGGCTACAAAGCACAATTTGAGAACAGTGATGGATACTGAATTACACAGTTTCACTAACTGGATGTGTCAACTGACATCATTCAAATTAATAGCTGTAATATAAATTAAAAATATGTCCTAAGAATCTCCCTTGACAAAGGAGCTCCAAAATGCCTTGAATTCATCTATCCTCAAATGAAATATGAAAACAAAACAAGATTGACCACATTAGATGCAAGAGCTCTCAACAAGGTCTGTGTTGTGAGAGAAAAACAAAACAAAAGCAAGGAAAACTAGCTCTAGCCTCCACTGACATCTGATCAAGAAACATTTATTTTTAAAAGCTGTTTTAATAGTTGCTGGGTTATCTAAACTGGCTTTATTATAAAACGCTAATACAAAACAAGGCCTGAAAGTACATGCAGATGTATTTGTGTGTATATCCCCAAAGACTTTTCAGAAGGATGTTGTCTGGTTCTGTGTTTATTTAATTTTAACACTGTTCTCTTGAAAAAGGCTCGGGTGGGTTTTGCTCATTTCACACAGATCATTTCTAGACTTCCAGCTCCAGTGTGAGTGTGATTGTCAGCTGTGGAGGACGGGGCTTACCTGCTGAGCCTGGTACCTCTGCTGGGCCTGCGACAGATACTGTGCCTGGGGGGGCAGGTGCTGAGGCTGCGGCTGCTGGTTGTAGTAGGGCTGCTGGCCCTGCTGGCAGTAGCCACTTACGCTTTGCTGACCATACTGAGGTGGTATCTGTTGGAAGAGCCAAGCAAAGCACAAAGGTGAGTCAAGGCACAAAAGGACATGAAGTCAAGCTGTATGACATCCATATGGCAACCTGAGCACAGGTGACAGCCTCAGCTATACACCTGATGCAAGAGTCCTACTCCTTTACTCAGCATTTCATGCAAGCCCTTAGATCCTCTTGCCCAAACAGGAGAAGTAAGCACAAGTGCTCTGTATAGTTACTCTTTTCAAGAAGAGATTCTAAGGAAAATGCTATGCTTCTGAACATCATGATCTCATAGTGCCCAGCCTGAAAATACAGAAGCAGTTTAGATATTTGCCCTGCATAGGCACACTGCTGAGGCAAACAGACAGAGGAAGCTTCCTGATGTGCTGACCCAAAAGTACAACTGTGGAAAAGAAAAAAAGGGCACAATTCTAAAATACCTATTGAAAGCCAAATACCTTTTTAAAATCAATAAAGTACTAATTTTCGTGACATTTTTTACCCCGAGGTTTTTAGCTTACGTGTTTTTAAGACATACGCAAAAAACCTTCAAGTTTGGCAGGTGTGGTTTTGTTGAGTTCAATCTCTCTCAGTCTCCTACTGTCTACTGGCATTAAGTCTTTAAAAAAAAAACAAACAGACACCAGTACAACAGAAAACAACCTGTTTACAGGTTCTATTAACAGACAAATCAACACACGTACCATGCACTGAGAACCCACATGCACACATTGAGAATTTTAAGTTATAACCAAAAGCCAGTCAATTATAATATCAGAGGAATTTTCTGCACCAGTTTAGTCTTATATCAATAGACACTGATATTTTATTGAGATACTTGAAAGCTTTCAATGAGCTCCTGATACTGTATCTGTATTGCCCCAGTTTTAGGTATCCAAGTTTTCCCCATCAGCAGTATTTAGTACAGTACATTTCAGATGGTCCTGCACATGCTTGTCATAAACAAATGTACTGGATACTTAAGCACATTGGATATAATTTTATCTCTGAATTGTTCCCACTGAGTCTCTGATCCACTGATAAATCTGTTCACTCAACATGTAAACACATACCTGTTCTACCTAATGTTACTACATGCATTCAACAATACAGTAATATTTGCTAGGCAAAAATAATACAATAAAGTCAAATCTAAACACCTGTGCAGGATGATCTTACTATCATAACTCGATCTGCTCGTATTACTTTTGCCCAAAGTCAGTAGTCCTATCCTTGCTAACTCCTAGGGTCAGCACTGTAACTCCATCTCTGCAAAATGTTCTCTTTGCTTGTGCTTTCATTTCCTTTACCATCATTTCACAGATACCTAGATGTTCCTGTGACAGAATTAACCCTTTCTAACAAATACTCTCTCTCTGCTGATGCATAAATGAGGCAGTTATAAAGCAAACTAAAAAAGGGTGTGTTGGAATATCATCAGGCAATCAGACAGTTGGAGTCTGGGATCTGACAGAAAACCACATGGTGATTTGCCTATTAGCTGCAAAGGTCACAGAGCCTGGACTGATTCCTCAGAAATTATGAGGAGAAACCTATATTGTGGTCCATCTGGGTCCCAGCAACATTAGGAAGAAAAGGAAAGATATCCTAATGGTAAAATATGGGCTTCTGGAAAGAAGAAAAGAATCTGAATGTCTGGTTGACAGGACGGTGACAAAGTAGGAGAATCATTAGGAAGTGGAGCATTTCTACAATGAAGATACTTGTATAGGAGGGCTGGAACATAGAAGCCAGGTCACTGGTACTGAAGGAGCAAGAGAGTGAAATTTCAACCATAAGGAGAAGGGTTTACAAGAACACATGGTTCAAAAGCATGGCATTGCTATGACAAATAAAGACATGGAGATTGTGGGTTATCAAGTGAAGATGCCAAGAAGAATCAAAGAATGAAAACAGACACAGATGACTGCAGAGTGGCAAGAAGAAAATCCAACAATACACTGCCTTGTACACAAACAAGAGAGTAGAAGAAAAACTGGATCACAGAAACATCAAACCTTGAACTAAAAGTGCTAGCAGTAGTACTATCAAAATTCTGGTAGAAGCGAAACAACTAGTGGGTTGCTATTCTGCATCATCCTAGAATACAAATACATAGGGAAGACAGCTGATGACAAAGTAACACTACACACTACACAGAGTTTAGAAACAAATCAAAACAAAACTCCATGTCACCAAGCAGCAGAGGTCTGTGGCTTGGTTGGATGAGGAAGAGCAAGTGCTGGGACCACCAGGCATGGCTGGACTGTGGCAATGCTGACAGCAGCACACTGAGTTAGAGCAGCAAAGGTACCATGCAAGATTATTTAGAGGGAGATTTCAACTCCTCCTATATAGATTCAGCAAGTGAACTACAAAGCAGAGACCAAAGTATCAGAAAACTGCCAAAGGTTGTTCTATGGAGCTGCTGGTCAGGGAACCTGCATGAGGAGTTGCTGCCTTTGGCTCAGTCCTGAGCAGCAGGTATGACCAACTTCCACATCCTACAGCTGCAAAACCACTACACATCAGCAATGAAACAGTTAAACTGAATATCCGTACAGGAACAATGGAAACCAAGGACTCTGCTACTGTAGTGCGTAACTTCAAGAAGTTTAACTACATAAAAAGCAGAAAGGTTGTTAAAAGGAAGCTCTAACAGGCAGCTACAAGAAATAAAACTGACTGGCAGCATCAAAGCTGCTTAACAACAATCACATGGAAAGCACAGAATCAGTATTCACCACCTATTAAGAAAGGCTTGAGAAGAGCAAAGGGACATCAGCATGGGCTCGTCACAGGTTTCTAGAAACAAAAAGGCATCCTTCAATGAGCCAACAAGTCCAAATGGGGAAAACAGGAAAGACTGTAAACTCTGGCACTTCAAATGTAATAAGGCAGGCCAAAAAGAACTGGAGGAACAGCTAGGAAAGGGAATCAAGTAATGAATCACTTCTTCAGACACATCAGGAGCTGGAGGTCTGCCAGAAAGTTTGAAATGCCATGTGATCATCAAGGTAGAAAAAGATTCAGAGAAAACAGCCATCACAGAGAAGCTTAATTTTTTTTTTGCACTAGTGTGGTCTGTGGAAAAATCTTGGGAGATTCCCATGCTGGAGGCCTCCTTTGTGAGGGATTTGATGAATGTGTCTGAATCTGATGGCACTGCTCATGGAAAAAACTGAGAAACAGTAAGAAATGCTCAAGATCATACACTATCACTGCAGAGGTCTAAACAAATTCAAGACTGAAATAGCTGAATTACTAATGACAGTACAAAATCTCTAACTTGGAGTTGCCTTTGCAGGTGAGAACTGGAGCATGGCTTTAAAAAAAAAAAAAAAAAAGACAAAAAAAGCAGAGACATGAGTAATTTAGAACTATAAAGGACTCATGACTGTTCTGGATAAATCAGGACAGGTAAGAATGAAGATCAAAAGACTTCTTGGTCTTCCCAGGAAGGGTCAAGCACAAAGGTTCAGAGGAATGTAAGACGAATGATCAAAGGTATAAAAAACAGATAGAAAGCCACAAAACCATTTTGTCCAACACAATAATCAGGAGGCATTAAAAGGTAGAAGCTGGGAAGTAAACTGCAAAACAGGAGAGAGATAAATTCTGTAGTCACAGAGGTAGCAAATGTTTAAAACTCCTTGCAAGTGATGTTTTGAAAGCTAAAAGTTTAAGTGGGCTCAAGCAAAGACTGGACAAGTTCACCAAAGATACATCCTCTGAGGGTTACCAAATATACAGAGCCACATCTGGCTTAGGAAGTCCCTGAACTGAAAATAGCTGGAGGCTTGGAAGAGTATTGGGGGAAGTATCACATGCTTGCTTTGTTCTGACTCTTCTCTAGGCGTCCAATTAAAGCCTCCACTGGAGGCAGGATATGGGGCTGCAGGAACCCTTCATCTGACCTGATTTAGCCATGCCTATGTTCCAACCACCTCTTTTCAACACGTATTTGTGTCCTGTGAGAAAGCAATGAAAACTTGTCTGTGAGGTACTAAATAACAAATGTAAGCAACCTGAAGAGGTAATAACACTTTGATTGCCAGAAGCTGGGAGACTGCTCCAATTTCTTGAGTGTTTTTCCTAGCACTCTGCTTCCAGACACTGACATTAAAAAAAAAAAAAAAGGTACTGGTCTCTTCTTCTGACCTTATGTATCAGTTACTTACATCGCAATCTTTCCCCCATATTCTCCCAATCCAAACTGGTTAACAAAAAACAACACAAAAACCAAACCAACCCAAATCAACAAGCATCAATAATCCTAATGCTCCCTGCACTTTTAGATGCTACACTGTTCAGTGCAAACAGCCATCACCACTGCCTTAGTCAAACATTCAGTATCATTTCTGTGGCTATTTAAATAACAAGCAACTACATGCAAATTAATCCTCCTGCTTTACTGGTGGGGATCACAAGATACCACTCATGGACAAATGTTTATTAAACAGCATATAAAAAAGCTTAATTAAAATCTCCCCAGAACAAAACAAATCTGAAGCCAATTACTTACAAGGCTCAGGAGTGACTGACCCAAGCATCCTCCTTCTTCATAAGGTAAACCCTAGAGCCCTTTCACCCACATTCTTTGTGGCCACATAATGCAGGAGATGAGAATTCAATAAACTTCTATATGCCTGCAGTAATGCACATGTTTTTGGGACAGTTCAAGAGAGAGCAGACACAAATTTGAATCTATTTCTAGGCAAAGACAGAAACTATAATAATTACTTTGCCTCCTATCTGACTTACACAGTATAAGTAGCATTATTTTGGGAGAAGTATGAGTGACCATCAGTGATTAAACCACTCAGAATGCAAACAAGGAAAGGATGAGAATAAAAGAGGAATAAATTGGCAGGCAGAATGAAGAGGTGGGAGAAATCAAATTAAACCTATAACTTAGCCCATTATCTTTAATTCCTGCTTGAACAAGGGGTCTTGTGGCAGACATTCTTTGTCCAGGTAATACCTTGATGGTAATGGAAGTTTTAAGCAATTTTTGCAT